TGTCAGAGCTGTACATAGAGAGAGCAGCGCCAACTTTAGGCTTTGGAACCAATATGAATGTTCATTGTATGAACAGGACAGCCTGCAGCTGTTGTGCGTCCAATGCCCATCTGCACTGACGCCACAATATTGGTTCCAACAATTCAGTCACTCATGTCGTAACTCTGTCTATAAACAGCTCTGGTGGCAGTGAGATGGTCAATGCCTTCAGAGATTTTTCTGTTATAATGTACTCTGGAGGATTATTTTGTTAACATAAACCTGCAGGTTATCTCAATTGCAGAACTGGAAAGCAAGAATCCTTGAGACAAGGAACAAATGCAGACGTCTCCAAAAATGTGAGTATGCCAGTTCTTCATTCATCATTCTATTTGCTAAGCAAAGAAATTCTTATTCAGCAAAAGTTGTCAACCCGCCCAGTTGTCATGTGAGATGTCATGTACTTCCTGTGACTGATACCCGGCCAATTGCTGTTCAGCACATAATTTTGCTTTACAGTATTTTCTTCATTGCCGTAAGTACATGTAAAGCTACTTTCCTAACCTCTCCTTTCCTGTGGGGGTAACAGCCACACCCACCCTCTTCTGATGATCAGAACCTACCAGAATGTCCTTTGAGTGATGTGATGACTTGATGACCGTTGTCCATCACTTTCAAGACCGTGATCTGGCCAGAGTAGTCAGCAACAAAAGCATGCTTGGTCTCCTCATCAAATCTTAGCAGACACTGGAGTTAAGGAAATCACCATTTTGCCTACACTTGCCTAAATGATAGAACCTTGTCTAGAAAAATAACCAATATGTACCCAATGGAAATTGTAGGATACATTGTAAATACATGCATGGAGGAAATCTGCATTCCAAGGATGTGACTTGATTTGTTTAATTACAAGTTATTATTAGCACTGTAACCTAAATCAAGGTTTTCAAGAACTACAAGAAATGCTTTCTGTCAGATAAAACATTGAACAATGTGAATCCTGCAACAAACTTAAAACCAGCAGTTGAAAGCCAATTCAGTATGGACGGAATATTTATTTCAATGAGCCACGTGTTTGAGCCTTTCCTGAATAACAAGCGTAATTTCGAATCATAATCACCTTTTTAGTTGTAAAACTTGATCTTCACTGACACCTTACCTAAGTTCCCTCTGACTAGTCATTAAGGTCATGATCCCTGTATGCAGTATGCTGTGAATGATATTAGAGCTTTGTACCTCCATACTTCCTTATAAAGGATACTGTAATGCCGTGCCCCAGGCCTCTAATTTGTAACCGCCCAGGCGCCGACCTGTCTCGCTGCAATGCCACTGGAAGAACTTATCTCTGCCCAAACTCAGCACAAGCTCAGTCAGTACGGAAAAAAAGACATCGGTCACACGACTCTGGTGAGCTGAACCAAAAGGAGAGGAAAGGTTGGGTACATCAAACAGAAATGATCCAAAGGATGATGGAAACTAGAAGCCTGAGATATTTGGTAACAACGCCTGATGACATAAAAACAATAACAATTCGTTTGATGGTAGCAAGTACAAAAATATCCCCCTCTCATTTTGGATTTATTCCTGGTTTTGTCTGTGACCTTTTCAGGCTATTTAACTTAAAATCTTTTGAGCACCCTCAACGTCTGGCACTCTGTGATTTCTTTAAATCATTCACTCATTGTCAAAGACCAAGCTAACATGTCTTTTTTGTCTTCGCCTACACAGGAATTAAATTGTATTTGCTGATACATCAAGAATATGTCCAGTCCCTCATTTCTCAAATAAAAGAAATGCCGGACTATGTAAGAGGAATACGATGTATTAACTTTCAGCACTGACAGAAACCCTTTTCATGCAGGCTTCAAGTCCAAAAGAAGACAGGTGGATACAAAGTTGACGTTTCAGGGTCTTGAATCAAAACTTTGACAATTAAAATGTCTCTGACTTGATTCTATCTCACCAAGATATTCCCGCCTTGTCTTTAAGCTGTTGTAATCCTCTGAGATGCTGAACTCAGAGATAATGCCATTGTCCAGACCAACAAATAGCCTTCTGGTCTCTGGGTTAAACTCCATGGTAGAGCAGGAGGCTAAAATATTGTAGAGAAGTTGAAAACAATGACCGATTAATAAAAACATTTAGTCTTACCCTGGGCAACTGATCACAGCTACATATACAAGCCAAAAACAAAGTCTAAAGTTACAAACAAAGGATTACTAGAAAGCTATGAAACTAGATATCTAAAAAACAACCAGACTCCGACATGATAAAGAGCAGAACCTGTTATACATGTACACTGTATCAACCCTAACCCTCCTCAATCCTTCACCTGTTGGAGGACTGAAGAGTGTTAGGGTTAAGGTTGAAGATTTGAGTCAGTGTTGTATCCCAGACCAAGACCGAGACCAGGTCTCAAGACCTACATGTACATGTACAAGACTGATTTGGTGCAAGTACCTTGCATTGAGTGGCAGATGCTGGGCCAGTACAATCCAGAATCTCTCTTCAACCATACTCGAACCGTTCTATGAACAGATGTACAAAAACATTGTTCAGGTGTTTACATCAAACAGAATCAGAATGGATGTCTCAGGACAAGGCTATGTAATGTATCATATCATAAAACCTCAGGTTTCAAGGCAGACATGTCCGCCATGACCCTAATACTGGCCATTAATGTCACCTTGAACATGTTGTCTCAAAAGCATTTAGACATCTCTATTTTTTTCCTTCAGCTGCATATACAACACCAGAAAGCAATAATACATCTTTAAAAGTCAACTTTAGCAGGGAAAATAATGACAAATTTACTTAGAAAAAAACCTTTTCAGACCAGAGACTCATTTGTAAACAAAGTGTCAAGTGATGGGCAGGTAGGGTAATCTTTCCTTAGGATAAGCTCCTAATCACAAAGTTACAATGAACACACACGCACAAACAATATGAGGGAAAGAGTTCCATATACAGGCCTCCTGATGCCCTATGCACAAGCCCTATGAAACTGGTCTGAGAAATTCCAAGTGTTTTGTAAGTACAGGACTTGGTTTTTTTTCTCCTAAATTGAACTTTTCTGGAAGTGTTTTGCTTTCTGACGGCTAATAGGTCACTGTAGGGAATAATTACTAGCATCCATATATGTAATTCTTCCCAAAATGAGAACTGTCTAGGCGTGCAGGAAGCCTGACATTAGGCACTACACGCAGCTTCAGTACTGGTCCGTTATCATTTTAATAAACATGTTGAAACGTAAAAGTTCCAAATACATGAAATGTTGGCTATGGCTTAGACATGAAATGCATGATGATGGAGCCTGGTCATACTTGTTGTAAGATGGGAGTTATATAGTGTTTAGGAACATGCACAAATGAGTGAGGGGACTGTTCATTTAGGAGCTCATTTTCTTAAATAGGAAACTGTGATTCAAATTAGTCTTTTACTGCACGCTCTGGTTCCTTTATTTAATTTCAATTTTTTTGAAATTTCAAGTGAAACCAACATTTAATTTATTGAAATAAGGCACAAATAAGAACAAAGCTTTCATGAAAATATGAATTGTAAGCTTCTCAGTGAAAATCCACACTGATCTTGGGGTAGGTACCTGTGGCCAACAAAAATGTCCCAAAACATCTCAAAATATCCCCAGTTTAAATCTACATTTCTTTGCTTTGCGGAGACCGATACAATCCAAACTTATATCAAAATGTTGCTTGTGACATCCTCTCCAAGCATGTCATGTCAAAAAGAAAAGAGAAAAATAACTGAAAACTTTAAGGGACTCCCTTGCCCACATTCATGGGCCTAGGCCTAATCGTTCACATTCAGTGCTAGCCACGATATTTGCATTCAAGATAAGTAGAACTGTAAATTCTTCATAAAAATCTTAATGAAAACAGTATAGTCGGTCAGTCACGAGACCGGGGACATCTAGGGTCAATGATGGTTCAACAGTTCACTATCATGTCAATCATGTTTGTCGTGTTTGTTAATCACCATCTGACATTGTTAGTTACAAAAAATAACTGACCACGACGGGGAACATGAAACGAATCACACGATCATATATTTCAAGACCACGGCATTACCTGTCTTCACTCACGCTGATGACCCCGTCTTCCTTAGGTATTATGATCGCTTTTGTGACTGTTCCATTACATCCTTCAAGTTTACTGACTAACACAGGCCTCCTCGTTTGAGGTCTAGTTCTGATTTCAGCAGCCATCTTTTACTGACTGTCTCGTCTATCAACGCAATCAGGCACAATGCATTGTATTACATGCACTGGGAATGAAGTAGACAGGGCCCTACCATTAAAGCGTTTGAATAGCTATTAAAGAAGCGGATACCAGACACATTTGTCTGGGAGTTTGGATGACGTCATTCCAAACACATGATTAGTCATTCTTGACTTATCACAGTGCCAGGGACGTCCATTCATTAATAAACTTCTTCATGCCTTGAACTATACGACCCTTGAAAGAAACTTGCAAAGGTCTCCATACTAAGACAATTTCTCTTTCAAAATAAAACTTAAAAAGATTATCATTATTTTTAATATATCATTACAATATGCAGAAGACTGGATGATGCCGATTTCGACCCCCACTAGCTATAGGATATTAAATAATTTAATTTCCCTTTGGAGGGAAATCAAACAGGGAAATGAGAGATGAGGAAAAGGTTCGGAGTCGTTGTTTTTCTGTTTAATCTATCTAAAAATTCCATTTTTATTTCAAACAACGGCAGTGGTATGCTGTATAATAAATCCAAATAGTTTTCATAAGAGCTCTCTTTTTAATGTGCCTTGACTTCCTTTCGCAAACAACACAGTTTTGCATGACAGTTTTATCCAATCAAGGGCTTGTTTTCTCAAGTCGCGAGTCGTCTCTTGCGGGAAACTGCATTGTTCTCCTGTGAGAAAACAGGTGTACTTTCTTTTCATATGCAAATTTATTATGGTTTCAACTTTTTGGACGAAACTATTTGACACACATGGGCATTCATAGAGATGGTTGAAATCTTTCGAGAGTTACATCAATTAAATATTGCAAACAAGCTGAAACAAACTTTGCCCAGATATTCCAGTGTGTTTTAAACTCAAATTCTGTCTCTGCATCTATAAAGAGGCGGATAAAGTCACTAGTTAGAAACAATTTGTCCCCGTCGAAAAGTTGCGATCGCCCTTATTAGTTCGAGGCACGCGTGCATGTAACTCTACTTGTAATTGTGTGTGTACGTGAGCGGCGGTACGCGACAGCCATTTTGTTTGCCCGGGAATTTATTATCCTGCTCTGGAAATAAAACAAGTTCAAGAAAAGATTGGAAAGAAGGCGGGAAACTACGTAGACCGCAACATAACATTTTACTCTTTAAGAAAGCGAATTCATGTCGCCTAAAAACAACGCCGTTAAGGAAACAATGTACCTTTGAAAGACTGCTGGACTCCGTCGTTTTGTTGGCAAGGTAGGCAGTCTACATGTATATACATTTTGTTGAAGGCCAGGGTCTTCAGGGAGCATACTGAAAACTCAAATTTGTACAGCTTCGATTATTTTGTATGAATAATTGCAAGTAGACTTGCTGGCACATTCTTTAGTACATTCAAAGATTTCAAAATAAGATTGGAAAGCTTCCTGATGGCGAAATGCTCTTCTCTCTGTCTGATCAAGATAAACTGTTCAAGATTAATTTCAACTCGCACATCTCTTTCTACGACAGTTAAAACTACGGTTTGGAGTACATCCCGTGGCTAAATTGCCCAACTTTGAGAGGAGTCTTGTTCACAGAAGACCGTGACCTGGATAGTTTGACACACAAACTGTATCCCTCAGTTTAACTTAAGGACAAGGTCAGGTAAGATTGTATTTTGATCATGTAATTCCATGCAGGTCAATTCGAAAGAGGTTGAAACTCGAAATAGCTCTTGCAGTGACAGGCTGAGTCAACACTGAAGTGTAATTGAAAAAAAATGTTAAATTCCATTTAGCCATCTTGAAGTCTTTAATACATCCAGTTTTTCTGACATCTTCTTGGTTGTGTCCAGTTCTTTCTCATTGGAAGTATTTTTCTAGGGTCCATCAATTCCTGTGGATTATGGTGATACTTTCAATCTTGCTGTCAACAGTGAAGTTTTATGGCATAATTTTAGACAGAATTTCTTTTGAGAACTCCTTGTTTTATCATTTTAAGAATAACATTGATGTAATAGAACTGCAAAGCTAACTTTAAAATACACATCAAAACCCTTTAAAACTTCAAAAAAAATTCATAATCGAAAAACGAATTCAGAAGGGAATATGTAATTTTAACAAGTTCTTCACTCCTCCAAAATGGATTTGTTTGCTGTCCCGATCCATAGTTTATGATCACCCGTCTTCCCAGAAACGATTCCATATCCAATGCGTTTTGGAATGTACTATCTTCCATCTCAATCTGTTGATAAGTCATTCACTGCCCGCTAGAGACTCGGGCGTCAGCTCATCACGCGATCTCATGCAGTGTTTGCTCAACCGTAAGAGGGCGCTGCAGAAGCGTTATCACGAACAGCTTTAGATGATCCCGTATAATTACAGAACCCACAAAACATAATGACAGGATATGTAAAAACAACTGATAATTGACTAGCATAGGCTACACCTCCTTATTTTTCCTCTGTGCATCCCCAATAAAAAAGGGAAGTGACTGAGAGTATTTTCGTTGCACAACTGAATATAATATAGAAATGCAATTTTACATCTGTCACCTGACTGAAGTGCAAATATTTTTTTTTAATTTCGTAGGCCTATGTGAAAGAAATTGTACTTTTTCATATCTTCATATTCAGGAAAATCCAACATATGCTGCTGCCCTGTCTTCAGTAGCTAGCCACGTGTTGAAATTAAACCCTACCGCTGTCTTAAAAAATAATTACAGGCGCATAAATGTCTTGGGACCGAAAAAAGAGTAAAAAATTACCTTTAGAACCAATAGCCTTCTAAAAACTCTTGTCGGATTAACTGCTGAACAATTTTTGAAGTCCTTTTGCATACTCTGGATATAGCAACTGTATTACTCTGGAGGTATTGTATTGCTAAGTCGATAGGTTAATTAAAGCATCTAGTCCTTTTCTTTCGACATACATGTATATCTATAACCTAGGACAAGAGGAATTGTCTTGTTGATTTCAGTTTGCACAGTAAGTCACCAATTCATTGAGTGTTACCTGAATATTGCATGGCTGCCCGGATTTCCAGCACTCAACAACTGACATGTCATCAACGTACATGTATATGAACATGAAGACGTCGACAGTCACAGGCTTTATACTATTTATCCTACCTTGTGAGGAGTAAGACTGGTTTGACTTAGTTCCCCCTTGGGAAACCAGCGAATAGGCCGGGCTTTCCAGGGGGTTCAGCGGTACTACAGCTGTCGACTGCCGCTATTTGTAAGCCAGGAACAGTCGATAAGGACTTCTTTATGTGAAAATTGACTTCAGCTTATTTGGATCAGAATTTAGGGGGCGGAGCGTTTATCATAATATGGATGTATTCCAAGTTTCCGGAGAGAGAGAGAGCATTAAGTGAGGATCTTAATTTTAAAAGCAACTTTCATTTCCGTTCAGGTCTTCTGCCCATTCGATAGTTGGTAATCCGTCTACCAAATGAAATTTATATGGCGCTGTTGGGCACAGGTCATGCTATCTTTCACTTGCTGGTTTTGTAATATGTGAACTCATATTTGGCGGCACGGCACGGTATTGTGCTTTGACTTGCCAACGAGAGAATGTATTTGGACATTTGTGTGAAGATCACTTCTAATGTCGGCTACAATATGATCTAGTAGATGATGTATTCATGTTATCAACCACCTGTCGGTTGTCAGTAAGGAGAGGAGCTATGTGAAGTTGATTGAAATCACCAAGTTTTACAAAAGCCAGGGCAGTGCTTCGACGAAATGCAATACTGTGTATACCTGTTGTCGTTTACGTAGGGATGTCCAATCACAACCATCCAAATAAGCGACGCCAAACTTAGGGCGGTGTATTTGGTGTTTGTTAATGTATAGAGGAGTTTTTCTAGGACCCCCTGCAGGATGACCTGTTGTAACACCGCGATGTTCGTTAAGTTTTATAGCTTTTCCATTTTAGTTTCACGCAAGATTTGTCTGACAAGTGAAAACATTCAGTTAGGGTATAAGGACCTGAGGGGAACGTTTATACCCAGAGAACAAAAAATCACGCATAGAAACCCATATCATTATGATGTCATTAACGGGACTCAAACCAGCCACACAAGAGGAGGAAGGAACAGGTAAGAATGCCAACTATTCTAAAATACTCGGTTGAAATTTCCAAAGTACTGCCGCTTCTATATATTTGTCACTGGCAAGATTGTGTGATTTCATATCTCGAAGTCAGCACATTAAATGCTGGACGTCCCAAAATGGTCATGAAGATATATAGGGAAGGCTGCTTGACAAGCATGAAATTGAAAATTAATTCAGAATCCACGCATCCGTTATTAAGGAGACACCTGCACGAGTCATTATAAAAACACATCCAGCAAACCGTGACGCGTCTATGTATCGTTTACGAAATAGGCAAAGAGATTACCCCTCCCCTTTCTTTTTCAGTAATGCTCTTGCGTCATTTGAGGAAGAAGTGTCCACCCACAATCGATGGGGCAGTTAATTTGTGAAACGCTCACCCTGTGCGGCGCAAGATAACGGTTGCCAATTTCCATGTTTCACCGTGTGTTTATGCTATTTTATGCAGCTTCCCTTAGGCACTTATTTCCCCACCTTCAACTCGATCTTTCCAAACTGACATTGTTGTGTTGAGCTCCTGTATCGTCGTTGGCAATTGTCCAGCGACCTTCTCGAAACCAGGCGGATTTAATACTTGGCATCATACCTCGGGCACTCTATTAGCCACACCAAGCAAAAAGTATATACCGAGAAAAGTGGACGAATGAAAATGAATAACACGGGTTACCAACTAAAAATCAACGTCAGTCAAAGTCATTGCTGCTAACAGGCTGATACAGTTTTGAACGGTAAATTGACTAAGAAAATAGTCTTGTTGTCAGCTTTTGGAGAATTGTCGTTTTTTTTTCGTCTTATACCCGGCGTTTAAGTACAAATCATTGTCACTTCTTTCCCGTGACGAGTTCATGCACATGTTCACTATAAAATGGTTATTGTGATCGAAATAATTTTGCCTGTTTTTTTTTCCAAATTTACGTGTATCAAATACATTTTGTTTGGTAAAAAACAGCAACTCATTTACGAGAATACTTATCTCAGTGCTTGGCAGGCATTTCTGATAATTATCATTTTAGTCTCGGTCAATTGATTTCATCACGGCATGCACGATATTTACATCTTCACTGTCGCGGACCATCCTTTAGCAATAAATTACCACAAAATTGCTTTTAGATGGTGTTATCCCGTTACGTATCCCTATTTGAGGTCACATGCACGGGCGCGTTTTATTAAATTAAGAGAGCGCAAAAACCAACTGATCAGCAGCCCATTCGTGATTGGTATGGTTTCTCTCCGGCCAACATTTATCTGTTCTTAGTGTTTGAAACTCCCCCGAGATATCGCTGCCTGCCCACTCCTTGGAGATTGTGCTGGTTGCATGTTACCAAAGCTATCATATCAACGGCTACCATGTGAATGAAACAGCCAATTTGCGGCAAATTGGCGTCCGCTCAAAACGGGCATGCTGGAGTAAGAGATTATCAAGTTACATCACTAGTAGCTCTCAGGCGTCCTTGCTCAGATTGGCTCGAGACAAAATGCGCAACTGTACTCAAATCTCAAATGGTCTGCTCCATTCACGTGGATGTAGTCCGTTTTTCTCCCTTTCTCACTGACCTGGAATTGCGTCATCCCTTATAATCTTTCGTATGCAGCCCAAAGAATCGAAAATTACAATTTTAATTGTGAATAGCACCAACATGTAGATTTGGGAAATCTAATTGGCATGATTGCAGAAGTTTGACATTTTGCACCTGCTAAAAATACATTTTTCAAGTTGATGTTTACGGTGATATCACTTTTGTTACATTAACACGTTACCGTATATTACAAAATGCCATAAGTGCTTGTGAACCACTTGCACGAAATTCTATCAAATGCATGATAATATACAAAGTTCCTTGCCTGGATATTGCTTCGAATGCTAACAGGGACTGATCATGCATGAGCTTTGAAGCTTTTCATGATGAAGGTGGTAGGTTAGGTAAAAGGTATGCAATAGCACTATGTAAAGATACATCTTTTTATGAGCATGTGTGGTTCTGAAACGAACAGGAGGTGCCCGGTACTCAACGTTTCGGACAGTATGCTCCGTCGTCAGGAGACTGTGTGGAGAAAAGGCATTAATCACATCTCTCAGTACTCTATCCCCAACACATTAAAATTTTCGGATTCCCCACACATCCTCAGCCGACAGCTTCAAAAAAGTTTCAAGGTGAGTACCCCCCCCCGAGCCCAATACCACTCCCCTGGTGTATTTCCAAAAACAAAACCAAAGGTGCTGCAGTGGTGTCAGTGAGGTTCTTTCTCAACATGGAGGCGTGGTTAGACCGCTGGGGGGTGAGAAAACTACAGGTAGGGTGCCAGAGGTGTGAAACGTTACCCCTATCGCCTAGATTGAAATATCTTGCCGTTGTGTCTTCACTGACAGGTTCCAAAGCACGTGCGTCGGCATGACTACGTGCTTATAGCAGCTGCACCTCATGTAGTCCGGGAGGTAAGCGCCCCAATCGCTAACAACCTTGCCCGTAAATTGCAACTAGTCGTTTACTAGTAACATTTTAGAATCTGTAAGCACCCGGAACGTCTCACCCCTTGCACAGCGACTA